ACGTTGATACTTCTTTCGTTTTTAGTGGCTTAATTTGCCTGCTTCTTCATGCCTTACCTTCAGAGATGTAAATTACAAACATAGCATGATAAAATTAAAGTTTACATGTATATACAACTGACTAGATCAGAAATCGTAGTAGGTAATTTATATGTAATTTTTAAAAAATCAAAATCAAGAGAAAACAAAATAAACTATCATGTTAAATTACCAACATTAGAGTGAAAAATCAGGCTGTGTATGTATAAATATAGGTATTTCAATGTAATTTAGTGCAGTCCTTTGAAAAGGCACTATTTATAGGGCCTACTAAATATTTCTCATTTTTCATCCAAGTCCTCTAAAGTAGAGCAAGAATTTCAAGCATTATAAATCTAAGCTTTCTAGATTGATTTTTCTCATATACTTGTCTCTCTCTATTTTCTCCTAATCATTTGTTTTCATTTACTTTCTGCTGCTGTGATAAGCACCATGAACAAAAGCAACTTAGGAGGAAATGGTTTACTTCCTTATTTACAGTTCACAGTCCATCATCCAGAGGAAACAGATCAGGAATTCCAGGCAGGAACTGAAGCCAAGAACATGGAAGGAAGCTGCTTACTGGCTTGCTTCTCCTGACTTGCTCAGCCATTTTTTGCTTTTTTTTTTTTTTTAAATATAGCCCAGGCCTCCCTGCCCAGGAATAGCACTACCCATAGAGACTTGCTATCTTCTATATCAAGTAACAAGTAAGAATATGCCTCACAGATATGGCCATAGGCCATTCTGATGGAGGAAATTTCTTGGTTGAGGCTTCCCCTTCCCAGGTCTCTAGTTTGTGTCAAGTTGACAAAAAGGTACCAGCTCATCATCCAATTTAAATTTTTCCAAACAAAGTTAACTTAGGTTTCATGGAAATATTATTTTTGCTTCAATATGTCATCAGTTTAATTGTATTTATGTAGAAATTGTTTAAGCAAGAATAATTGAAATAAATATTTGTAAGACTATAATAATTCTTAGAAAACTTAAAGAAATCTATGTTTAAGCTGAAAATTTTAATTTTTATGTATATACGTTGATGTGTTTATGGTTGTATTGAAAGACAAATAGGTTTAAGTGTAATCTTCTGGAATATGGAACAATTTTGAATATAATAATCATTAAGATCCTAGAACATAGTTTGAGAATTGATGATTCAACAATATAGAATAACAATGAAATTGTAATGCCCCTTCTTTCCAGTTATTTCATTTTAAGTTGGTTTGCTTTAATCATGGAGTTTTTCTTTAAAGTGCTAGAGTATCAGTTGAATTACCTTTAGTTTCAAAGAGAATAAACTGGCATCTGCATGTGGAAAGTTAAAGAATGGGTTGAGCTGTAGGAACTCTTTTTTTCTGTGCTCAGACAATGCTACTGGAACTTTTTCTGAATTTCAGTTTCATTTTTCCCTGTGTGGCAACTTCTTTCATTGATACTACTGCCAGCATTGGGCATAGAGCCAGTCAGTCCTTCATAACTGTAGTTCCACATCTGGGATTCGATCAATCACAAACAGGAAACACTCAATACTGATCACATGCAGGCATTTTCTTGCCATTATTTATATCACACAGGGTGAAAAGCATTTACAGAAAATGTATATTGTGTTAGAAATGGGTTGTATAGGTATTAGTTGCCTGGAAATGATCTGAAGTCCATGTAGGAAATTCCAAAGGCAAAGGCAAATGCTACAACATTTAATAGAAGGGACTTGAGTACCTGAGAATATTGGTAATATACAATGCCTAAGTAATGTTAATTCTATACAAACACTTGTTATACTGTGTTGTTAGGGAATTAATGACAAAAAGTTTGACAGTTGATATGTAATTATTATTAATTTGATTTTCTGAGCATTTAAAAATCATTTGTAGTTATTTAAATGTGTGGATGAAAATGCTATAGATTTGGAGGGCCAATTGAATAGCAGATATAGGTGTGTGTGTGTGTGTGTGTGTGTGTGTGTGTGCATGTGTGTGTTTCAAAAAGAGTTGAACAATCTACATTATATATATATTGACAGAACAAAAACACCATTGAAAGTCAATTTCTGTGACTCACCATAAGATAAGACAATTGGAGTAATTGCTTCTTTTGTGAAATGTTTTCTAAATGTCAAGTTACACAGGGAATGAAGTGTTACCTAGCACTATGGCCGACTTTCAACTACCCATGGCAATGGGTATGAAATGGGAGAGCTAATTAAAATTTACAGACCATCTTCAAACGTGTTTAATCCTTTAAATCTCTCTCTTCTTGCCTTTAGCTTATCGGAACGACCACCTAAAGATTCTGATTCTGTCTCTTTTCACGTTCTGTACTTTAAACAGGAAAAAACTTTAAGGCCTTATAGTTTATTGTTCTATCTTCAGGGTCTAATAAAGTATTTGGATCATAGTGTAGGTTCAAAAAATACTGAACTGCTAAGGTGAAGTGAAGTAATGCAATGTTGTGTGAAAGATCTCTGAATTCTTTTTTTTTTTTAATTTTCAAATTTTATTTTCAAGTTTTTTTTTTTTAGAAGCATTTCATTACAGCTTTAACATATTCAGTAACACATTCCAGAGCAAGGATACATCTCTTTCAAAGGTGGCTGTAAATTTTTAGGTTCACAGTTGAATTAATACAGTCATACAATAATGAACTCAGTAAAAGCCTTGTAAGACATAAAATTGGATGAGTTTTTACCCTTTAAAGAAGATCTCCATGAAGCATTTCATTACAACAGCATTAACCTATTCAATAACATTTTTCTGAGCTAGGGTACATCTCTTTCAAAATTGGCTGTACATTTCTAGGTTTACAGATGAATTATTACACTTATAAAATCTTATACTCATTATAAACTCTCTAAGAGATAAAATTAAATTAGGTTCCAATGTTTAAAAAAGATCTCCTCTTCATTGTCAAAACACACAGTTTCATACAGAAAAATTCATTCCAAGCCTATTGACAT